AGGCTGGCAGGCAGAGTGGTTAGGGGCGATCAGACAGGCAGGCAGGTGAGTAGTTAGGAACCAGCAGTCCCAGATTGAGAGAGGGATGTCTGACTGCCGGCAGTTGGACATCCCCCAACGAGTCCCAGATTGGAGAGGGTGCAGGTCAGGCTGAGGGACATCCCCCCCCAACCCCCCATGGACAAATTTTGTGCACTGGGCCACTAGTTTTCTATAAATAAGAACATTCTCCTATATAACCACAGGACAACAATTAAAATCAGGAAATGAACCTTGATACATCACTGCCACCTAATCCTCAGATCCATTCAAGTTAATTCAGTTGAACCAATAATGAATTTATAAAAATATATTTTTATTGATTTCAGAAAGGAAGGGAGAGGGGAAAAGAGAGATAGAAATATCAATAATGAAAGAGAAAATCATTGATTGGCTGCCCCCGGCATGCCCCAAACTGGGGATATGAACTGTGACCTCCTTGTTAATAGGTCAACGCTCAACCACTGAGCCACGCTGGCTGGGTCCAATAATGAATTTTATAGCAAAATTATCCAGGTCACAATCACGTGCAGCATTTACCTGTCATGTTCCTTTAGCCTCCTTCTGTCTGGAACAGTTTCCCAGTCTTTCAATGGGTTTCATGACCTCAGCACTTAAAAAGGTAACAATCCAGTTATTTTGTACACTATCCTTTAATTGTTTTTGTCTGATGTTTCCCCATGATTAGGTTAAGGTTATCATTTTTGGAAGTGATTTTATCCTATAATTTCCGTTGGTCCCCTTATTAATGATAGTTGCTTTGATCCCCTGGTTTAGGTAGTGCACACCAGGCTTAATAAGTATTTTGTGGGGATGTACTTGGAAACTGACTAGATATCCTGTCCTGTATCAAACTTTCTATATGTATATTCCTATGGTTTTCTGTTTTATTTAATAAGTTTGTTAAATTAATTAAATAAAAAGGCCATTAGACTGAGTTGGCTATAATGCCAATGGCAGCCTACTTAAACAAACCAAAGTCTAGACCAGTGGTTCCCAAACTTATTTGGCCTACCGCCCCCTTTCCAGAAAAAATATTACTCAGCCCCTGGAAATTAATTTTTTAAAAATTTTAATAGCAGTTACTCATCGCCCCCAAATGCACCTGTGGCCATCACCGCCCCCCTGGATCGCTGCAGCGCCTACCAGGGGGCAGTAGCGCCCACTTTGGGAATCACTGGTCTAGACCCATAAATACTTCAAGGTTATGAAATTAAAAACTAAGGACAGCCAATCACAAGTAGCCAATCAGGCTTTCAGTTACAGCCTATCAATAATTCCCTTACTTCGTTTTTGCCTTTTCTCTATAAAAGTTTTTCCCCAGTGGAGCACTTCTAATCAATTCCTGTTTGGTGCTGCCTGATTTGAATAGATTTTGTTCCAATAAACTCTTTAAATGTTAATATGCCTCAGTTGATATCTTAACAGTTATCATTTATTGTCATTGTTTATTTCGGTGCTCAAATTGTTCCAGATTTGGCCCGCTGGGAACCCCTTCTTAATAGCTCCTGCATCCTTCTGACATAGCCTCAGCATATTTGGAACCTATTCTTGCTTTCTGACACTCTGAGATGTTCCATGCTCATCTTGTTCTTTCCTTGTTCCAGGTGTGTTCGTTAATATCGCGGGTATTGCTGCTCCCAGGCTTTCAGTAGATATAACTAGGGAATATATATGCATATGTCTATACACATACACAAATTTACTTAGCCATCTACATCAATACCTATCATCATCTATCTAATGAAAACTGTAAATTTACACCAATACCTCCAATTTCAATCAGTTTATTTTAGTTATTTCTCTTTCCGTTGACACCCTTGACTGCCAGTGAGAAACATAGCTCGTGTTATTCTTAATATATTTGCTTAACTGATCAATACACATGTAAGTAGACAATCAATCTCCCATCTCAACTGCCATTCCCACCCCTGTGCAGATGCCCTCTCCAAGCCACTTAAAATCTGATACCCTATGCTGGACAAAACTACTGCCACCTACCTACCCACATAGATGTCTCACTCACCCTGATTGGACACTGACACCTTACCCTGGGTGATGACCCCCGCCCCCTTGAGTACCCTCTTTACCCTCCTTGGGTTCTGACATCTGGATTTTGGCCAACACCCTGCCCTCAACTATCTGTACAGATGCTTACTTTTCTTTGCCCACCAAATGGTTTTAGGATGGAACTGCTTAGGAACAGAATGGACAGAGATTGAAGGAGGAAGGAAACAGGGGTGAAAAAGAGGAGGAAGAAGAAGAAAGGGAAAAGAACAAATTTATGTTTAAATAAATCACAAGTAAGCATATTAAGTGTAAAGAAAAGAGGAATCTAAAAAGCCACTTAGAAATGGAGTATTTCCTGACTGAGATAGGATATAACCTTAGCCACCCTGATTATTATAAATAATAGCAAAATCCATGTATTACAGATGACAGCCCATCTTTCACATTATTTTTGGATAATCTTTTCATCTTGTGTATGTTCCATTGTTCTTTCTATTTGAGATATAGTAATTCCACACAGTTAATACTATTCATTCATCAGCCAAATTTTTAAAGGAAGTTGTTGAAGCATTCTTGCTGTCAGAGATATTTAGCACCCTTTCTATCTGTTTATTCCAATTCTCCCTTATTCCCTGATTAAATCAGGCATAATTCCTTTAGAATGGATTCAAACTATTGTCTACTCCATCCTGTTAAATGGCAACCCTTTATCTCCCTCCGAGTCATAGGGCTATTATTCTTTAGAACATTTCCTTTAAAAAAATCTATGTCAGTCATCTTTTCAACAAATTGCAGGGAGAGTGCTCTCCCATTAACATAAAAGATAAGCAAGCAGATTTAAACAGTTATTCTATCAATCAATGCTGAACAGTGTCATCTCTCTAAGAAAAACATAAAAACAACATATTATGTCCCTTGCCATTCAGCCATCTCTGCAACTGCAGAGGACAAAAATTGGCACAAATTGTCAGGAAGAGGGTACATTAAAGCCTAAACAATAATTTTTAAAACCTCTTATTTTATTTATTTACTTTTCTATTATTGGTTTTACAGAGAGGAAAATAGGGAAGAAAAGAGAGGGAGAGGGAGAGAGAGAGAAACATTGACCCACTGCCTCCCACATATGCCCTGATGCTGTGACTGGGAATTGAACCCATCACCTTTTAGTGTGTAGGACAACCTACTGAGCCACACTAGCCAAGGCTGAACAAGAATTTTTTTTACCAAAACCAGAGTGAGGACAAATTTTTTAAAAATTAAAGCTAATTTTTATTTTTTAAATTTTATTTATTTATTTTTTTAAATTAAATCTTTATTGTTCAGATTATTACATTTGTTCCTCTTTTTCCCCCCCATAACTCCCCTCCTTCCAGCTCCCACCCCACCCTCTGCCCT